GCAGCGAACGACCGCCCTCACCCAAATATGTAAATGAACATTAGTTAATGTGCGTGCATGGATTTTTTGACAAACGACCGCTCGAGCTTAGCATCAAAATCATTCAAAAAACTGAATTCAGCCAGGCGAAATTTCGGCGAAATTGAGCTTTCAACATACGCCGGTGTCGTTTCAATGAATGCTGGGCAGGACACTGCCCCGGTTCTGGCGTCCTTCGCAATACCTGCATGTTTTGGCTTCGTAACTTTGGTATCTCAACCAGAGATTAGCATTTCCGTTACATTATTATCTCCATGCTTTTCAATGTTAATTTGATATTTTGAGTCGATTTTTAATGCCATTTCAGCTGAATTTTGCATCGACTGGGCGAAATCTTGAGTTTTTTGATTGAAAATCATCATTTACTGAGGACGAAAAGCGGTGTGCCACTGATATTGTATAAAATTTTGCCGAAACTAAAATTTTTGATTCTGATAAGTCGTTAAGTTTTTTATAATTTTTGTTCAGTCGGGACCGCTCATGCTGGTACATAATGGGCAGTGCTATGTGATGTCGACTGCGCAGTATCTGGGCAACAGTCAGCAGATTGCGGCTGTTAGACCGGTAATTTGTTTCATTTAGATTTCTGGAAGTTCAGTATTTGTGCTCATTTTCAGTTCTTCATTTCCAAAGATTGTCAGTGTCCGTGTAATGTTCCATTTTCGGAGTGTGGATGGAAGAACTGTCCCAAATGTATAGCATTTTACCACTCGGAAGCATGTGCCGTATGATGAGTGCTTTCGCACGTTTGTGAAAACCCTCAGCTGGGGCAAAATGAGGTTTCTTTCCCTGCTGCCCTCGACTTTTAACTTTTCCCAGCCCTGATGTGCGGGATTATGTGGTTTATTGAGCCCTTGATGTTGAACACACGCTGTTCCAGACCAACGATAGATATTTCGGGAAATCTATTCAAAGCTCGTTGTCTCTTCCTCGTACGTCCCATCACAGTATGGCCGCAAAAGCTCTGAATAGCTTTTCCATGCGTATATTTGATTCTTGCGCAGTGGGCGCATGTAAGACTCTGGCATAGTGGCCAAGTACATCACCGTGAAAG